CTGTTGCATTCTGCGATTCGGACGCTTCGTGCGTCGAGGGAGACGGTTCCGCCGCCAGAACCGGCGGAGTTCAGCCTTGAACGGTCGGGGCCGCGATCGTCGATTCAAGGTTGCAAGGTCGATGCGGCGTCGAATGTTTTGGCCCGCGCCGAGGCCTCGCGAGACTGCCCAAGAACCATTTTGGGCTCAGGAGGGGCCCTGCGGGACGCGTTCTGGATGTGTTCCTCCAGCTCGCTCGGCTGCAGCGGCCGCTGGCAGACAGCGTGTCAGCTCGGGTGGCACGTCGCCTGCGCCGCGCAGTGGCCTCGCCTGGAGAGGGCGCATTCGAGCGTCGTGGCCATGGGAGCGTTGACTCAGCGTAGAGCGCTCGGGGCCTCCAGGTCGGGAGTCGAGCCACTGCTTGGGCTCTTCGGGAGTTCCTCGGCGCGCGTCAGTGCCCTCCTGCACCAGCGAGCGGCAGGTGAGCGACGCAAAACAAACGGGGTCGTCTGCTCCGACACGGGCGCGCAAGCTGCCCGCTCAAGGTCGCACGTGAGCGCCCTCTCCTCCAGAGTAGCGTGCCGCGGTGGCGGCCCTGGCAAGGCACCGCGTGAGTTCGCCACGTCATTTCGCGTAGGACACTTCTGCAGACATATGTAACCCTCTAAACTATTTGCGCCCCGCGTTTGCGCAGGGGTTGGGTACGTCGCCAGGGTAATTGATCGTTGTTCAGGTGAGATTAGGGAAATGGGGGCATGAGAACTACCACGTGCAGCTGGCATCGGCCCTGCCTCCTGGCATTTTCCCTCGATGCACCTCGCCCATGGCGCTTCTGCTGCTTCGTCCGACCAGATCCCGATGTGGTTCGGGGGGGCGGATGAGAATGAGGAGGAGGAGGAGGAGGAGGAGGAGGAGGAGGAGGAGGAGGAGGAGGAGGAGGAGGAGGAGGAGGGGGGGGAGGGGGGGGAGGGGGGGGGGGGGGGGAAGGGGGAGGGGGAGGGGAAGGGAGGAGGGAGGAGGAAGGAGGGAGGAGGGAGGAGGAGAGGGAGGAGGGGAGGAGGAGAGGAGGGAGGAGGGAGGAGGGGGAGGAGGGAGGAGGGAGGAGGGAGGAAGGAGGAGAAAGAGGAGAAGGAGGAGGAGGAGGAGAAGGAGGAAGAGGAGGAGAAGGAGGAGGAGGGAGAGGAGGAGGAGGAGGAGGAGGATGAAGAGGAGGAGGAGGAGGGGGAGGGGGAGGGAGGAGGGGAAGGAGGATCAGGAGAAGGAGGAGGAGAAGTAGGAAGAGGAGGTGGAGGAGGAGGAGGAATATAAGAGCAAAACCAAGCATGCAGAAAGGATGCTGCAGGCTGCCACGCACCCTTCATTCCAGTCCCCATCATCGGTATCATGGAGGAGGCGGGGCGCACCGATTCAGGGGCAACGTTAGGGGGGATCAGGCTCCAGGGGGACGCATCGACCCCCAATCGCCAATTCATCCCCAACAGGGTCTCGATAGCCGACCCGGTCCAGCAACGTGTGGTTTCGCAATCGGGGCCGATTGCTGATCGATCAGCGATGCACCGCCGATTCTGGGTCGATGTGTTTGTCCTCAAGATGGTCCCTCTTTCTCGTTCCCCCTTGTTGATCCTTGCCCGGCAGCTCAGTTGATGAACCCAGCCCCAACGATGAAGAGAATGGGACATATTGTACGCCTTTCTCCACGCATGAGCAGTAAGATCGAAAGAGCCCTGGAACCGGGGAGCACTTTGCCCAGCAGCAAGTCTGGATGTCCGAGCGTTGCAGTGCTGGAGAGTATCGGGGACCTGAGGGCACTCAACCAAGTTGCAGAGCCAGTGTGACGGACCGCCCATACCTCCACGTTTTCCCATGTGAAGGAGCGACTCGTTAGCTGGTCAGGCACATGTTTCGCTACGGCCGGGAACAAAAGCACGAATAACAGCATTAACATAATTTCTCGAAGGTCCGCGTTGAATTGTTATGGACCTGCGTCGGGCCCCTCTGGCGGCGCTTCCAGCCCCGCCCCTGGCGCGCTCCGCGCGCCCGGGAGGGTGGTCAGCACCGATTCAAGAAATCCGCGCGGACTTTCAAAACAATTAGGTCCATGCAGTGCTGTCCCTCTATACTGTGGTTATCACCACGGTCATTGGCATATTGGCAGTGGGTGGGTCATGGGATCGAAACCGCTCTTCGCCCAGGTCTTGCCAGATGTACGGCGGCGGCCGACGTGCGCAGAAGTGATTGTCCCGCCGCCCAGTGCTCGGCCCGGGTGTCTGGGAGTCGAGCCGATGGGGTACCACTCGGCGGCGTGCCCAGGGGAGAAGTGAGCAGCCCTCTCAGAAGGCGGCGGGACTTCTGAGAAACCCTCGCGCCTTCTGAGAAGTTGTCGCGTCTTCGGGGATGGCCGCCCGCCCCCCCCCCGGCGGGCGGGAGGAGCGCCTGCTGAGGCTGTCGCGTCTTCAAGGATGGCTTAGCGCACTCCCCAGAAGGCCAGAGGCTTCTTCGAGCCGTCCGAGATGGCCCGCCCCCTCTCATTTCCGCCCCGGGCGCGCCGCTGAGCCACGGTTGCCCTTCTTGGCACACTCAGTGTCACCCCCCTGGATTGACTAGCAATCGCCGGAGGACGCCCCACTAGGGACGAGCGTCGCACTCAGGGCGTGGGTGACGTCTGTCGGACGATCGTTACCCATCGGTCGTTGAAAGTAGGTATTTCTGGGGTCCCAGATCCCAATCTGCTTTTGGCGCCTTCTTACTTCAAGGATCGACTGGCTTCCTTATTCTCTCAACGCCTTCCCATTTCATGCTTCGACCCACTTCTTCCGACCGGCGTGTATAGAAGTTGGAAGATCAACCGAACCAGGTGTGATGTTTGATATTTGATTCATAGTTCACCCGCCTCCATACCAGAAACAACGCCGTATGCACATGTATGCGGTTCCTCCGTCGAGCTTCCATCGCGCGGCAGGCGAAGATGGATGAGATGGCGCAAAGGGTCAATCAGGATCTGGTGAAGGATTTGGTTTTCCCATGTGTGATGTTGTCTCTCGCTTGCCACTGGTCTCCGCGAGCTTATTGAAAGTCAACATCTAGTGGATTCATTGAGAGTGACATGCTTGTGCCGTTCGAACATAACCGTGGTTGTCTTGTTCGCAGAACGCCAGACATCAGTTGCGGGCACCACGTGAGCATTCCCAGGAATGACGTCGTTCATGGTTCAGGGTGACACTACAATGCGACAGCGAGCGCGTCAATACTATGTAGGCGCTGAGTGTCATCTGACGCCACGGCATGTATGAAGCTGTGTGGTCAACGGATCTGCTTGCCTGATTCTGCTGGCCCATATCGTATCGCTGGTGCTATACATTTGTGTGTTCGTGGCGAGCGAGAAGAAGGAGGAGGACGAGAAGGAAGAGGGGGGACGAGGATGAGGAGGAGGCCTCTCGATGGCTTCTTGTGGCATTTTGTGGCTAAACTGGTCGTGGCGTGGACAAGACGCCTCTTTGGGAGGCCGCTTGGGGCCTCTTGGAAGTATATCTGGGGACTCGTGGCTTTTTTTGTTTGACCTCCTGAGCCCTCTTGAGGGCCTCCTGTGGGCCTCTTGGGGCCTCTTGTGGGTCTCTTGGGGGCCTCTTGGGGCCTCCTGGGGGTCTCTCGGGCCCGAGATCTCGGATTGTCCATTCGGGTCCCCCTTCACGGCCCGATCTTGGGGGCCGTCTTAGGGACCTTTTGGGCCGTCTTGGAGGCCTCCTGGGCTGTCTTGGGGGCCCTCTGGGGCCGTTTTGGGGTGTCGGGGCGTTCATCAGAGGCCTCTTGGGCCGTCTTTGGGCGAGAGCGTGGGCTTCTCGGCCACTCTTGGAGCGTCGAGGAGCTGCAAATGCGAGAACGAGAACATCAGTTCGAAAATGCAGTGCGAATCGATGGTTTCTACTCTGAAGGCTTTTCGGGGCGTCTGGGAGGCTTCTTCAGCTGTCTTGGGGCAATCTTTGCCATTTTGGAGCGATCTTGTGGCGTCTCGGAGCCCTCTGATATTATCTTGGCGACCTCTTCGTGGTATCTTGGCCCTTTTTGATGCTTTCTGGGAGGTCCTGAAGGCGGTGCCCAGTAGCAAAACCATCTGTGAGGCGGACTTGTCAGGACCTTGCCGGGGTATTTTTCGGCCGGGGACCCCAGGGGCGGCCCCACGCGCGCGAACTAGAAAAAGCTCTGAACCAGTAACCGGAGATATTAGCACGCCTTTTGCCCGTTGGGCCAGCGAATTGAGTGTTCGATGTGTTGTCATCATGTTGAGAGCACGGATGCCGCTGGCAGGGGTCTCGTGCATCCCTCGAGTATTTGTCAGCTTTGGATATTGACTTGCTGTGCGCACGCTCTATTGTTGTAATTTGCAGTCCGATTATATTCGTTCGCTGATGTTCAAAAGCCATGGTCGGGTGCTTCTTCTTGTAGCATGCACATCTGTCAGGAGTACCCGTTTCCATGCTTTGAACACTTTGGGGGCAGCCTGAGGGGGTTCTCAGAGCTCTCTTCGGGGCCTCTTGGGCCCGTGTGCGGGTGCTCCGTGAGGCCTTTTGGTGGCCTGCTGCCGGTCTCGAGGGCCAGCTGAGGGTGTCGGGCCGGACGAAAGGGGGGGATTGGGAAAGGGGGGGGTACGAAATTTGTTGCATGCAGTTGGTTTCGGCCCCATCGAGGATTCCTCGATACATAGCCGCCTCGGGCGCAGGGAGGCGCCGGGAAAATCAGCTACGTGAGCTGATTCTCAACCCCCCCCTTTGTTATCCTCCCCTTTCGCCCGACCCGAGGGTGGAGGGCTTCAGATGCCAGTTCGAGCTCCCCGCTCTTGCCCGACGCCTCCCAGGCGAGCCGAGAGGCCCAGAAGAAAGTCTTAGCGGTTTTGGCCAGGCCTGCCTGAACGTGCAACCAAAGTTAAGTCGGGCCTGTCCCCCTACAGGGGAAATTTCCGAAGAAAAATAAAGAATACCCCAAAAAGGTTTAACTTATATTCAACAAATACTGAGTCCCCAGACAATTTTCGGAGTATTTTTTTATTAGTTGGGAGGTCTTTTTTATTTTTCGTCGGAAATCCCCCTGTGAGGCGAAGTCACCGCACCTGCAGATTGACCCCAGACAGACGGCTGGACGTCTGGAGTGCGGGGTGTGGAACTGGAGAACAGCGGCATTCACGCAAGCCGCTGGACGTATGCAGTTGTTGATCTCCCAGATCTCAAACCCAATCTACTTCGAGCGCCTTCCTGCTTCAAGGAGCGATATGTTTTTCCTGTGGATTGTTCTTCTCCGGGAGGGCCTGCACCTAAACTCCTTTATCCGCCTTCCCATATTATGTACAGTGCCGTTTTTAATACATGCTCCGCGTGCAGATCATGTATTGAAAATGCAGGGAGTTTGCACTAAAAACAACGATGAGTTCATGCATCACTTGATTCGTAAATTGAGCATGAATTAAACATCCAATGTTTTTGCACATCCCATGTATTACAAACTGCCCTGTCGTCACCTGCTTCTTTCGACCGACGTGCCAACATGGGAGGTCCGCGCGGACTTCTTGGACCGGCACTGGTCCCCCCCCCACGGGCGGCGCCGAAGGCGCTGCCAGAGGGCGAGCGCCGATCCTAGAAATCTGCAAGGATTTCCGAGAGTTTCCGTTTACGCCGCGCCCCGTTTCTGAGTGGAAGGTCCCGCGACCCAAGACCCCAAGATGCCACCCCAAGATGTGTCACCCCAAGATGCGTCACCCCAAGACCCCAAGATGCGTCACCCCAAGTTCCCGCGACCCAAGACCCCAAGATGCGTCACCCCAAGATGCGTAGAAGTGTCGTGTCGGCGTCACCCCAAGATGCCAGTACTACGGTTGCGTCGCCCCCCTCAGGGGCGGCGCGTGCGCCGAGAAACCTTCCAGAATGATGCGTCGTGGCGGGCGCTTTCTGGCCGTACCGCTCGGGAAACGATACATATATATATATATATATATATATATATATGTATATATATATGTATGTATGTATGTATGTATGTATGCATGCATGCATGCATGCATGCATGCATGCATGCATGCATGCATGCATGCATGTATGTATATGTATATGTTTATATATATATATATATATAACAACATGGTTGTACGATGTTTTCGGGTCGGACGCGCGCCTCCAGGGAGGACATGTAGTACTGCGATGTCCCGGTGCGTTCCCGATTTTTTTGGGGGCAGCGAGGGCTGCAGAGAAGGGGCCCTCCGGGGCCCCTGCAGAGGCTGTTCGGGGCCCACAGCAGCGAGGAGGATGAGGAGGAGGTGGAGGAGGAGGAGGAGGAGGGCGACCGCTCACTTGGAGGGCGACTAGTCATGGAGGCCTTCGGGGTTTCCGGCCCCGAAGGCCCCCCATGGCTGGCCGCCCTCCAAGTGAGCGGCGCTAACAGCAGCGAGAACTCCGGGCAGGCTGGGCGGCGCCCGGCTTGGGGAGCCAGGGTCCCTTCGCGCTCTTGTCGCTGGCTCCCGACAGCCGATCGACGAGAGAGCAGCACACGCCCACATCCACAGGGGGAACGGACGGGGCTGTGGGTGTGTGCTGTCGGATGGGGGTCCTCGCTCGAACGGGAGCTTCCCCGGGGGCCCGACAATCCGCTGCTATACCCATAGTCAGTCCTCCTCTCTCCAGTCCCCCAGATGGGTACGGGTGTTTGTATGTGCGCGCGTGCGGTGTTCATTTGTCACTGATGGCTCCCGAGCTCAGCTTCCTTCTCTTCAGGGGGGGCACCAGCAGTGGGTCCACTTCGATCGAGGTTCGAAGTCCGAGGTTTTCGCGCGCTTCTGCCCGCGCCTGGAGGTTCTCCTGCCTCGGGGTGCGTTCTGGCAGCTTCGCCTCGCCGAGAGCCTTCCTGGGGGGTGCCCGAGTCTTCCCGAACGGCCGCCTGAGACCCCAGTTCTGACCCGAAGGCTGAAGTCAGCCAGCAATGGCGGCCTTCGGGGGGAGGGAGGCGGCAGCCCAGGCCTCTTGAATGGGGTCAGAGCGAAGAGGTCAGAGGACCGCGCCGCCTTTCCGATTCACTAGCGATGCGGCAGGATGGGGAGTCAGTTTCTCTCCGCGCCGACGTCGCTTTGCATCACCGGCGTCGCCGATGCATGGGGGATGCTTCGAGGATGGGGTGCGATCTCCCGACCCCCTTGACTTCGACTCCATTATGGGGTGGCCTGTGTTGAGTCGCTGCGCTCACTCCGCCAGCCCAGACTATTCCATTGCGGGTGTTTGCCCGCGTGTTCGTTACCTCTTCGGCGCTCATGGGCTTGAAGTGTTGTGTTCGTGTTCTCCTCTGGGGTCCTCCCAGATGCCTCTTGAGGCCCTCTTGGGCGTTTTCAGGCTGTTGAAAAAGTCATGCGGGGATTCCAGGAGCGCCCAAGAGCGCTTAGAAGCGGCCAGTATTTCTGGGGACTTAGTATGTGAGCTTCCCGAGAGCATTCATCATATATAGTATTCAGAGTTCGTGATAGTCTGAGGACACTCCACTCAGTGTCTAGCCGCACCGTGCCGCATATGTTATGTGATGTAGCTCTTGGTTTTATAAGCTGATATTCGAAGGTGGCGGATATGCAGCATTTTCGCAGGTGCAGGTATGTTTCCGTGAAGGTTTTAGTTTTAGACCCCCCCCGCTATCTCTCGGCGGTGAATAGGACTGGTCCTCAAACCTCCTCGTCGCGGCGGAGATGATTCCCCTTTATTGTTGGGCGGGGTTGACATTGTTGGGGGTTCCTGTCTCCCAGGGAATAATGCCCCTTGGGCTTCCCTGCACGACAGAGGATTATTGAGCACGTTTGTGGGAGGATTGTTTACTTTTCGACATATTATTTGCCGAGGGCGTTGCTCGCCATCTCCTCCTTCATCTCGTCGTGTTTGCCAGTAGACTGAACCATGCGGGTAGAGTTTTCAGGACAGTATTTCTGAGGGACAAGTCTGTGAGCGAAGATGTTTCATGAGAGCGCTCATGAGGCATAATGACTAGTAGTCGTCGCAGTGGTGGAACACCACTCCGTGAATAAGACCGCCCGACAACTAAGCAATTACACCTTAATGGGCGGGGTGTTAAGACCTTTCACGATTAGATTGTTGGTCTTATTGTTATTGCATCCCCCCTTGTCGGCGGCCCAGTGTTGTGATCGGCATGGCCATCGCTTATGATACTTTAGCAGGAGGGTGATAAAGAAGACATTGGCCCATCGGATAGAGAGACTCAATGCAACAGCGGCTCCCAGGCAGAAGGCGAAAAGCTCGTTGGAGGCGGATGGGCGAACAATGGGATAGCGACGACCGGACAGCCGCTCGAGACAATAGAGCTGTCGCGTTGCCCCACACCTCCAGAGGCATTCCCGATCCCGTGCGGATAAGATTGCACCATCGTGTTCAAGGGTTTGGGAACGATTGGGTTTCGCATCGACGAAGAAGGACCTGATCTCTCATATCTGCCAGTCGCGGCACCCTCGTGTGCATCAAGTTCCTGGAATATTATTGCATATCCGCCTGAGCAGGGCATTTGAGGTGCGACCTACGGCACTGCACGGACCGCATGGTCGGAGTTTGTGCTCCGCGCCAATCATTCTGATACTGGTCTTCATGGTCACCCTCATGGTTGGCGGAAAGGGGTTCTCGATCAAAACTATGACCTGGGGCCTCTAGGGCAACAGGTTGGCGTCAGCTTGAACTAGCAAAGCCCAAGTTCCACAACCACACACGAACCCTAAACCTGCAGGTCCAAACGACACTCGGGTGCATGACACCCCGCCAGGGTTTCGCTTGGACGCAGACAATCTTCAAATTTCGACTCCAAAACATCGTTTTCAACAGCCAGATCCGCAGACAAAGGCTTCATGTGTGGTTGCCTACCCGTTTTACCAGGGTTCCTTTTGTGCATCCAGAGTTTCTTTTGAGTTGCACTTTGTGATCCGAGTCGATCTACCAATCAGGTTTGAACAGTCGACACCAGCATTGAAGCGTCATTGGCATATTTGAAACCGCAATGTACATCGCAGGCAGAACACATGTACTCGGAAGGGACAGGTGAATGGGACAACGCGGATCCGCCGTGTCCACGGTGAAATTATTGTCGGCGTTCGTGTTGCTGTTTCGTTGGTCATATAGTGCCAATTAGCGGAGGTTGGCGGGAAGACCGTGACCGGGACAATGGTTTCGGTTTGTGTCGCGCGAGCGGGCGAGGCGAACTTGCGCGAGGGCGGTGACGTGTCGGCCGCAATCAGGGCCAAGTCAGACAAACACACATTTGCGTCCGTCTCGCGGGGGCGCGCGCGGTTTTCCCGTGAAGGTGTGTGTGTGTGTGTCTGGTTGATTTTATTTCGGGGGGCATGTGTTGTCCAGCGTGTGGATTTCACCCGATGAACACAATGAGCGCGCAGTTGAACCACATTGACACATTCGCGCAACGGTAGCGCTTCATTGCCGCATGATTACGTTTGTTCCCGAGTGTGGCGTCGAGACCATTCAGTGATGGATTAATCGTTGATGTTTGTGGCAATGTTCTGCAATTGAGACCCCATCTTCTTCTGTTCGTCGTTTCCTTCCTTCCTCATAATTTTCTGGCTGTTCCCTCATTCTCTTCTCTCCTCTGTCTCTTCCTCTCATCCTCTTCATCATATTGCCCGTTGACCTTGGACCTGCTCCATCTGGTCGGTCAACCACGAGAGTGGAAACCGTTTCCACGTGTGAGCCCTAGCGCCGTAGCGTCTCCCTGGAACTCACATGTTGGACGTACTGGTCTCTATTCGCCAAGTTAGCCAGCGCGAGGACGTTGGTACATCCCAGGTCCCAGCGACAGGTGTGACGCATAGAATCGGCATTCTTCCAGAAAGGCGGCACCTATGCTTCACTTGTTGGTTGAAACGGACAGATTCAGCTCACACATGCGCGCACACCGACATAATTACCCAGTTGACAGGTTCACCCCACCCCATACAGAGTTGGCTACCGAGAAGATTCACATAGTTGATACAGCGCCAAGCAAAGCAGGCAACAAACGAATTAAGCCCAGTGGTATCTCGCCATGAACGGATCCCCGCCGCAGGGCCAAGACGCACGGATGGGGAGGAGAAGGAGGACAGAGCAGGCGGAGGCAGGTATAATATTCGGAGGAGTGTTACGAGGACGACAAGGACGAGGAGAAGAAGGTGAAATTTGTGAAGGGCGACGTACCCCCCACAAGTTTATCCCGAAACGGTTTCCAGGCAAGTTGTCGTGAGAGGTAGCGTCGAGGAACACACAATGACATGAACATCACACATTGTGAGGTCCGCACGGATTTTTGGGATCGGCTCTGGAGCCCCATGGCGGCGGTTCCGGCTCCGCCTTCGGCGCGGTCCGTGCGCCATGGGAGGGTTCCAGTGTCGATTCAAGAAATCCGCGCGCCTCAGAGTTTTGATGTTTACGCCGTTATTTGTTCCCCGATAGTGGGGGCGCGCATTTGTAAAGTTCAAGAGCGGGGAAGTACGGGCGCAGGCTCGTGGTAGAAGAGTCGAAGCGGGGGTCCAGCCCAAGCAGTCCCCAAGAGAGGCGAGCTCGGGGACCTTCGCAAGCCTCTTGGGAGGAAGCCTCCTGGAGTCATCGCCGAGCTCTCCTCCTCATCCTCCTCTGATTCCGTAGCCATTTTGGCTCAGGCTTTTCCGTAGGCCCCGCGCTGCTGGATTCTTCTTCGGCGTACCTTGCGACCCCAGATTCACGGGGCAACGCGGCGGGCGTGAGGGAGGGGGAGCGGGGCTTCGGGCTCAACGGGGATGGCGACGGGAGGCGGCCCGAGAGCGTGGCGGCCTTCGGAGTCCAGGTGGCGCGACATCGCCGCGCTCGGCGCCACCGCCGACCGTCGCGCGGCGAGACAGCGGCGCCGAGCCGTTTGCGAGGCTGTCATCCAGCCCCTCGCGCGGGCTCGCGGCGAGCCTGGCTCCTGGAAGGACAGCGAGCTGGCAGCGAGGCCGGCGCTGGCGCTGCTTGCCCAGGGACGCGCTGTCCTTGGCTCCCGCCGACACCGCCGGAACGCCGCGTGGCACGTTCAGCGAGTCCCGCCAGGCGGATTCGCCCACGCGTCCGCGGCGGACATCGCGTGGGCCCCTGCAGGCCCAAGGCTCGGCAGAGGCGGCGCTGAGCCCACCTCGTGCGGAACCGCGCCGACCGTCGGCTTGCATCTGGACGCGGGGGCCCAGCGCATGGACGCCTCGCCCCTCCCCGCTAGCGCACCCCAGGAGGCTGCCGCTGGCCCCCCCCTCATCCTGGCGAGGATTTTCCTCGTCCTAGTAGTGTTCCTCGCGCTGGTGACGACGCCGATGTTCGTCCAGATGCTGGCGTGCTTCCTCGTGGCGCTGCTGGTGCTGGCCGTCGTCCCAACGACGGCTCGGGCGCGCAACAGACGGGCGAGCGCGACCCGTGGTCCCACGCGCCCGACGTGCCCGAGGACGAGGACGGGGAGGTGGCGGAGCAGTCGCACGACAGGGGTTGCCCCGCGCTGCGCGGGGGGTGCGGACGCGCTGAGCAGGCTAATCTTTATCGCGCCGTTCGTGCGGGCGCTCCTCCGCTTCAAGAAGAGCACGCTGGCCCTCGGCGACGAAGACGAGATCACCCTGACGGTCGCGATGGCGACCGTGCGAGCGGGTTTCGGCGGAGGCCACGGGCCCCGCGCGGAGACGGACTATAGTTTCGCAGGTGCCAGCGCGTCGGAGCGCCTCGGGCCGCAGCTGCTCCTCGGGCTGCTCTTCGCCACTCTGATGCACCCGACGCGCGCCTGGGCTCCACGGCGAATGCGGATCGTGCCGTGGAGGTGGGCGACGCCTCCTTGCCCGAGCGCGCGCCCCTCCGCTTCGACGCCTCCCCCTTCGCCCCCAACCTCGGCGCCGCCACCGCGAGCGACGCCCGCGGCGGGGGGACGGAGGAGAGTGGGCTTCGGGCGCTCGCGGGAGACCCTCATCTTCTTCGCAGCGCGCGGCAGGCGCCCGAGAGGTGCTGCGGGGGGCGAGGGTGGAGTTCTTCCTCGGCGAGCCCCTCGTTCAGCAGCGCAGAGGTAGTAGCGGCCGGCGAGCTAGACCTGTCACAGGACGGCTTCGATTCTGGTTCGTCGGATTGACTTTCATGTCAGGGTCGGCGGCGTTGCGCTTGCGCGAGGTGCCCTTGCCGATCCGCGCTCCTGCGAGCGCCTCCATCTTCTACCTGATCGCGGCGAGGCTTGCTCCTCTGCCTCTTCCTCCTCCTCCCCCTCTTCTCCCTCCTCCTCCTCCTCATCCTCCTCCTCTTTCTCCTCTTTCTCCTCATCCTCCTCCTCCTCCTCCTCCCGCCCCTCCCCCGGCCGCTCCGGCCTGGTTTCCTGCGATTTGTACGAACCTCTTGAAGGGGTCATCCCGGCGGCATTTCTCTGAGCAGCCGGGCCTTCTTGCTGGGGCGTCGAAGCTTCTGTGTTGACCGCATTGTTGGACCCATTTGGGACCAGCGACAGCAGTCGTGGCGTCAATGTGGTCCCATCTCCGTGTTGGACTGGTCAAGGCCAGACAAGGCACGACACGGCGATGCGTGGTCCAAAAATAGCGGCCGATGTGCCATGCGCGGTGGCTCTGTGCGGCCTCCAGCACGGCCCCAAAGGCCCCACGATGACGATGAGGTGGCCTTGGGTGTTCTTGCTTACGCATTTGTTCCAGATGGACCCCATTCACATGAAAGCCGAAGGGTTGTTGATGTGTTGGGCTGTCCGCCTTGTCGTTCCGATGGGCTTCTGCGATGTGCAGAGGGCACCGTGCTAGCCCGACTGTGCACAGGAAAGGTTTGAGAGCCCCCACGATCGCCCAAGGGCCTCCAGGAGCACCCGACGAGAGCCAGAAGAGGCCTCCATCAAGTTTCAAAACATCCCGAGGCACCAAGGCCACTGAAGAACCCCAGCAAAGTGTCGAGCGGGTCGGTCCCAAAAGGCCCCCCACCTCCCAAGCCTCAGATGCTGGAAACCCATGCCAAGAAACACCCTGCTTGCCTCCACGGTGCCCTGTGTTCCTTGGGTTTCGATGGTTCTGCGGTGGAACGCGTGACGTGCCCACACCGAACATCGGTGGACGCCCTGGGGTCTCAGGGTTGGGTGTCTTGAGGAAGAGGTCTCTTGTGCGCGGGCCTCTACTGCACGACGCCCCGCCCAGCCAGCACTGCAATCCGTACGGTGCCGTTTTTTATACATGCCCCGCGTGCGGATCATGTATTAAAGATGCAGGGATTTAGCATTAAAAACAACGATGCGTTCACGCATACATTTTTTCATACATTATTAATGTATTTAAAATCCTAGATGTTTGAAAATCCTATGTATTCAAAACTGCCCTGCACCTCGTGTTCTCCACGAGGGGCCAGGGGCGGCCCATTCGCACACACACACACACACACAGCGGGCCGCCGGCGGCTCACAGGCGGGAGGGGGGGGAGGTCGGGAGCCTCGAGACGGGGGTCAATGCAAACGGGGGTTAGCCAGGGCACCGGATCCTGCAGGATCCTGCGAAGACCCCCTTTGTCGGAGGTGGATCGACCTCCTACCCTGACACGTTGATTAAGGAATTGGCCGTTTTCGGTTCGCGAGAGGGCGTCGCGGCCGTCATTTTTGCGGGTCCAGGTCCGTCGGTTTCGGTCCCAGGCCGGTTTCACTAAGGGGAGGTTTACTAAAGGGAGGTTTGTCCACCGCCGACCCTGGCTGACCCGGGTCAGCGAGCCGCTCGTGGCCGCGGGGCGGCCGCGCCTATTGGTTGACCCGGGTCAGCGAAGACCTGCGCTGCAGTTTTTTTGTTCCTGCATTGCAGTTTTTGGTCTCCTGCTGACCCGGATCTGGATTGACCCGGATCAGATGATCCCCGAGGAGGGAGAGTGGTGTGGCGTGAGACTCCCGAAAAGGAGATGGCAGAGCATTCGCCCCCATGGTAGCCACCCAGACATCGGAGGCCTGGAAGTTGGCACCAACACCAGCACGGGGGGGGGGCCTCCACAGGGGGAAGCTGATCGTAGAGTTCGGTGTTGGTGGTAATATGTCGGTCACCCTGGAAGCCAGAATATTACCACCATCACCGAGATCGGGATCGTCTTCCCTCGGTGGATGCACACCGCCGATATTGGTGTTGGTGTCAACCTCTAGGCCTGCGAAGACAGGCGAGGCCAGCTCGTAAACGCACCCAGGAAAAAAGGATCGAACAGGGCAGGGCTGCCTGGTATAGGCGCCCAGGGCCGTGCACGGGTCAGGGTGGTGTTTCTTCCCCTGCGACCGGGCCCCCGAAAGGTGTCCTTCGGAAGAGCTGGCCCGGAGGCTACGAAGGAAACGGGTCCTGCGAAAAGCAGGTCGTTCGGGGGTGGACAGAGACCCCAACAGTGACACGTCGATTAGTGAATTGTCCGTTTTCGGTTCTCGAGAGGGCGCCGTGGCCGTTCTTTTCCAGGCTTGCGCCCGTCAGGTTTGGGCCTCAGGTCGTTTTCACTGAACCATGTTTTACTAAAGGGGGGTCTGTCCATCCCCGAGTCTTGAGGACTGTTAATCTTCCACGGGCCCCAGGATCCTCAGAAAGGCGTCCCGAACAGATGGTGCGGGTGAAGGATGTGTGCTCTCACGCGCAGTGTGGAGATCTCATGCGGCCCAGGCGACGGTGCCCGAGGCTCCGCCGTGAAGGACGGCGCCATGGAAGAAGGCCCGTTGCGGTTTGATCCGTTTCCCTGACCTCTTATTGCAGGCTTGTGTCACAGTGGCGTATGCTTCGGAGGTGGACAGACCTCCTACCCTAACACGTCGATTAAGGAATTGGCCGTTTTCGGTTCGCGAGAGGGCGTCGCGGCCGTCATTTTGGCGGGTCCAGGTCCGTCGATTTCGGCCCTAAGTCCTTTTCACTAAGGGGAGGTTTACGAAAGGGAGGTTTGTCCACCGCCGAATGCTAAGGGGGGGCGGGCCGGCAGAGCAGCATGAGGTGCGGCATGAGAGCGGAGGGTGACTCGATGTCATCAGGAACGGCGCGCCGGATACTGCTAATTGGTCGGGACTTGGACGGGCGTTGGTGGATACGGCAGGCTGAGATCGGGGCTGAAATCGTTCCAGGTGCCATCGCGGCAGTTGCTGCCATATGTGCTCCCATGTTATCATTAGGTGTCTCTCCCGAGTTCGGCGGAGTAGGTGGAGATGAAGTGATGAGACAGACAGGCAGCAGCCAGGCGCTTCACAGCGCATGGGCATAGAAAAGTACAGCATTGCGTAATGTACGAATCAAAATTGCATGAACTACAGCTCTGTGAAACATGGTAGCGCAGACAAGGAGGAGGGAGGGGGAGAGGGACGAGGAAGGGGAGGGACCACCTCAGGACGATAGTTGTGGCAGAAGCTCGCAACTATACGCAGCCCACTGTTGGTGCGGAATGCCTCTCTTCCCGCATGTGTCCCAGACCCGAGGTAAAGATGATCTAGGCTGACACGTGAGCATTCGCAGCGAATGGTCTTCTGAACACCTTGAGATGTTGTTGTACAGCGAAGTCTGTCTTTCACAAAGAGCCACACTGAGAGGGCGAACTCGGCATGTGTTCAAAACTTGGTCGTTGGAAACTCTCGAAAATATGCATGTGGAATGCGGCAAATACGCCTTAGGCATCGCGTATTGAAACGATCGAGTATGTAGTGATCTGCTTGCTTTTAAAAGCTAGACTGCTTTTGGAATGTGCAACGACTTTGGGAGCACAGTCGCACTGTATAGCTCGAGCTTCCTAGACTTCGTGGTATTGGCGTGTGCCCAGCAGCGCTGTAACGCACTGAACACACCACTTGCCTTTCCGAGGCGATGCGTCACTTCCTGCTTCGTGGTGGCCTCTGCGTTCAGAAGGCGGCCTGAATAAACAATTTGCCGCGCTGGGACCACTGGGGTGCCTGGTGGGGTCTGGACAACCCGTTGTTCTGTATATTGCGAAGGCCTTACGGCCGGTGCCGCCGATCCTGATGACGACGAAGAAGAATCTTCTTCGTCGTCATCAGGATCTTAGATAGGGAGGGGGGGGTGCAGGGGGAGGAGGAGGAAGGGGTGCGTCGGTCGATCTCTTCTCGTCTGTTGTCTCCTTTCGCTGCGGCTTATCCTACCTGGGAGAAGGATAGGGATGAGGAGGAGAAGGAAGAGGAGGAGGGGTAGGAGGAGGAGAAAGAGGAGGGAAATAGAGGAAGAGGAGGAACAAAAAGGAGGATGAAGAGAAGGACGAGGAATAGGAAGAAATCGGAGGTCAGGAGGAGGAGGAGGATAATCAGGAAGAAGAGGAGGACGGAACAAAAATGAGGAGGAAAAGGAGAAGGAGGATCATGATGAGGAGGGAGAGGAGGAGAGGAAGGCGGAGGAGGAGGAGGAGGAGGAGTAGTAGAAGGAGCAGGAGGAGAAAGAGGAGGGGGACAGATGAGGAGGAGGAGGAGGAGGAGGGAGATGAGGAGGAGATGAGGAGCCTCTCGGGTCCTTTGTTGACGAGTTCTTGGAGAGCTCCTGGGACGTCTAGGAGGCTTCTTGGCTAGTCTTGGGGCCATCTTGGCCGTGTTGGGCCGATCTTTGAGCGACACGGGGCTCTCGTGGGCAATCTTGGGAGCCATCTTCGGCATTCTGGGTTCTTTTTGGGGCTGTTCGATATGTCGGGGCCGCCCGGGGGAAAACGAATCTGGGTGGCGACCACCCTCTTGGGAACACCCTCGGACCATCCCCGGGGACCCTGCCCCCCCCGCGGGAAAGGGGTCAAAGGGAAGGGGCTTCTTTCGTATCTAATACGACGTTGTACAATTTCGCTTTGGATGGCACGCTTGAGGATGGCCCAGGGAAAGGAACGGGGGACGACGGATACGGCGAGGAGACGACTGTGACCACGACGAAGACGACGAGGACGACGAGGAGACGACGGAGACGAGCACTCGAACGGAGAAGCCCCTCGCACACGCCGACATGGTCGGCGGGTCGGGTTCATGCGCTGCTACTCGCAAGAACTGTACCATCTGCGTATAAAAACCTCTTTGGGCAAACTGGAACATCCCGTTCTACGACATCTGCTTGCACGCCCGCAACAGCGCGATTAACGCCGACAAACAGGACGCTCTGCACAATTATAAACAATTGCGGCGAGAGATGGCAGCCTTGTGCTATACCAGATGCTTGACACCATTGCGACGAACTACCTGCGGAATCCCGCAAAATAAATTGGCAAGTTGTGCAAATGCACCCCAGCATGTCCATCTGTTGTGGAATACCAGACCTAGTAAAAGCTCCAATCAACATGCCGTGCTTTATCTTATCGAAGGTTTTCGCCCAATCTAAGAAAACCGTGATGAGTCCAGGGGCTTTCGCCGCACGAGCTGCATCAAACATGCGTCTAGCAATAGATGTGAAAGAGCACGCTTGTGGAGCACTTCTCATTAAAGGGGGCCCCAGCTTCAAGCTACCCCCTTTCCTCCTTCCTTGGCAAAGGGGGGTGTCCGAAATTACCCGCCCCCCTCCCCCCCTGTTGTGGGCATGTTTTAGTTTGGGGGCGCCCTGGCTAAAGGGGGGCGAGCGGCTTGGAAGCTACCCCCCCCTCCCCCATTCCCTTTTAAACGGGGGGGGGTCCGAAGCTACCCCCGCCTTCCTTTGTTTGGATTTTGCAGCTGGGGGTCCCTGGCCACAGGGGGGGGGACTTGGCTTGGAAGCTACTCCCCCTGCCCCTCCTTATAGGGGCCTGGGGTAAGCCCAGGTTCCCCTTCCAAAAGGGGGAGACTCTTCGGAAGCTACCCCCCCTCCCCGCCTTCTGTTGGCTTTTCTCAGCCGGAGGACCCTGGCTGAAGGGGGCTTTCGAAATTACTTCTCTTACTTGGTTTTCGCCGCCGCGTTGGTTTGCGGCGTATTTGTGGTGTTCGATGTCTCGTTGGCTTTCTGCACCTCTTTGGTTTTGCGTGCGTTTGGGGCCGTTGACGCTTCCTTCGTGTTCGGCGCTCCCTTTGGGTTTAGCGCTCCTTTGGTTTTCGGCGCTCATGTGGTTTTGGGCGCTTCTTGCGTTGTTCGACGCCCTTCTTGGTTTTCTGCGCACGAGTTTATAGTTTGCGGCGCATCGTTCAATTTTTGACGCCTGGTTGGGTTCCGGCGCTCCTTTGGTTTTCGGCGCCTTCTTGGTCTTCGGTGTTTCTTTAGTTTTCGGTGCCTCTTTAGTTTTCGGCGCCGTGTTGGAACCCGGCGCTCTCTGGTTTTTGGCGCCCTTCTTGTTTTGGGCGCCTTTCGGTTGTCTGCGCGCCTGTCATTATTGGCGCCCTTTGGTTTTCGGTGCCCTTTTGGTTATGAGCGCGTCTTTTGTTTTTCCGCGCCCTCTTGGCTTTCGGCGCGTTGTTGGTTTTCGCGCTTCTTTTGTTCTCGGCGCCTCTTTGATTTTCGGTGCCCCTCCGGTTTTCGGCGTGCCTGCGTTTTTTAGCGCCGTTTTGGTTTTCGGCACGTTTTTTGTTTTCGGCACCCTGTCCGTCTTCGGAGTTTCTGTTGTTTTCGGCACCCCTTTCGTTTTCGACCCCCTTTTGGTTATCGGCGCCACCTTGTTTTTTTCGACGTCCTGTCGGCTTTCGGCGCATCGTTAGTTTTCGGCGCCCCTTGAATTTCGGCGTTTCTTGTTGTTTTCTGCGCCTCTTGGGTGTTCGGCACCCCTTTGGTTTCCTGCGACCTCTCGCTTTTCGGTGCTCCTTTCCTGTTCGGTGTCATCTTGATTTTCGGTGTGCTTTTGGTTTCTGCCGCATCTCTGGTTTTGGGTGCATGTTTTGCGTTCGGAGCTTTGATGGGATTCGTCCTCATTGTTGTTTTCTGCCCCCTTTGCTTTTCGGCGCTCCTTGGGTTTTCGGCGCCCTTTCGGTTTTCCGCGCTCATTTGGTCCTCGGCGCTCTTGTGGTTTTCGGTGCCCCTTCGGTTTTCAGACGCTCCTCTGGTTTTTCGGCGCCGCTTTGGTCTTCGGTGCCTTTTTGGTTTTTGGCGCTCCTTAGGTTTTCGACTGTGTTTTGATTTTCGCTGCCGTTTTGGTGTTTGGCGACCTTTTAGGTTGTTGGTTCTCTAGTGAATTTCGGCGCCCATTTGGTGTCCGGCGTTCTTGTTAAGTTCCGTGACTTTTTGCGTGCCGGCGGCATTTTGGGTTTCGTTGCTTCTTTCGGCGCTGCTCTGGTTTTCTGCGCTTTTTTGTTTTGTTCGGCGTCTTTTTGGTTTTCGGTGCCCCGCTTGTTTTCTTTGCGTGTTTCTGTTTTTCTGCGCATGGTTGGTGTTTGGCGTCCGTTAGGTGTTCAGTGCCCTTTGGTTTACGGCTCTCCTTTGCTTTTCGGCGCTTTTTTTGTTTTCGCCGCGCCTTTTGTTTTCGGCACCCTTTCGGTTGTCGACGCGCTTTTGATTTTCGGTGCCCCTTTTGTTTTCGGCGCTCCTTTGGGTTTCGGTGCGCCTTTGGTTGTCGGAGCATGAACAACTCTACTACATTCCAAAGCGCGGTTTTCTACAACTGTCGCCGAGATATTGTTCACTAAATAGCGAAGATGACAGGGTAGAAGGTGAAACGCCGGAGTACCCAGCGCCTGCGCAAAATTGGCCAGTTTTGCCCATCCCTTGCGGATGCCAAATGAATTTCCAAGGATCCCATTGAATCGATGAGGGTTGCAGGGTATCCTTTCAGCGTATGCTGCACCCGCGGTGCGCGTGTGCACGAGGATCGTGCAGGCCACGCTTTCCAGGCACAGAATAGCTGAACGCCAATGTCGCCAAAAGCTCTGGCGAGGATCGTTCGGCCATTCTCGGTTTTACTTCGATGCAGCACACGAGGACGATTACCATACCCGAGGAAGGCCGTGAGAAGATCAGAGTCCCCATCTCTTCGACATGTAAGGTCGTCTTGGTTCGGGGAGCCAAGATGCTTCGCCTTGTGTGAAGGCGCAAGGAGCGCGTGGAGACTTGATGGTTTGGTGGTGGGGCAACTCTTTGCCTTTCAAAGTTCGGCTCGCGTGTGTCTTGGCATCGCTCGGACGTGTGCATTTTTCTTTCGGCGAGGACCATTGAGGAGCATCCTTGATCATTTGGCGAAACACACACACGAAACCGATAAAACAAATGGAATGGACATCCGAGCGATGGCCAGGTGTGCGCCTGCGTGCGTAAGCGTCTGTCCCCCTGGCGAGTCCTTGGTCCCCCTGCCGCGTGAGCTGCCCAGAGCCCCGACGTCGTGCTTGTTCCCCACGCCGTCCACCCCCAGAGGCCTGGACCCCCTCCCCGGGACCGCTTCGCCGTCCTGGGTCTTTTGGTTGACGCCCACGAGGTCCTTGGCATCGCTCGGACGTGTGCGTTTTTCCTTCGGCGAGGACCATCGAGGAGCATCCTTGATCATTTGGCGAAAAAGCCACGCACGAAACCGAAAAAAGCACAGGGACTGGACGTCCGAGCGATGGCGAGGCATTGTCCTGAGTAGACCCCCGACGCGCGCAGCTTCCCATGCGAGGCCATGGCCTCGCCCGCCTCGCCCTTGAGGGGCCCGGGCACATGCCCGCACAGGCGGTCCGTTCCGTTCCGCTCCCGAGGCCCAGTCAGGCCCCCCCCGGGGCCGAAAGTAGCAACGAAGACGTTCTCGTCGCGATTTGTGCACAGCGCCAGGGGGTCCGGGTGGCCCCGCGTCACGCGTCTTCGTCCGCTCGACGGCCCACGCCGTGCCGTCGCGCGCGTGGCCGCCGCGCCACGCCAGCGCGCCCGTGCGTGACGTGATCGAGAAAAGGAGAGCCTTGGCATCGCTCGGACGTGTGCATTTTTCCTCGGCGAGGACCATCGAGGACCATCCTGGACCATCGAGCAAAAAAAACACGCGCGAAACTGACAAATGCACGGGAAATGGACGTCCGAGCGACGGCAAGAAAAGAGAGCCTTTGACCCTGATAGCACAGTAAAGACGTGGCCTCACTGAGGTCCCCGCCTTTGCATTCGGGATGCTACGTCTAGGCGGCTTGGTCCCAAACATCTGCAGAAAAGGAGCCCCTATCCCTCCTTCATGTATGTGGCCCTCCTAACTTAGGGCCCCTCCCAAAGGGTTACACTGGAAGCCCATGCCAAGGAACACCCTGCTTGCCTCCAGGGTGCCCTGGATTTCCTGGGATTCGATGGTTTTGCTATGGGAAACGTGACGTTCCCACACCAAAAATCAATGGACGCCCTGGGGTCTCAGGATTGGGTTTCTTGTGGGAGGTTTCTCGTGGACTGACCTCCATGGCACATCTGGAGAAAAGAGCCCCCCATCCCTAATGTTTCTGGCCCTCCTAGCTCTTGGTATCGCTCGGACGTGTGCCTCTTTCCTTCGGCGAGGACCGTCGAGGAGCATCCTTGATCATGTGGCGGAAAGAACCACGTACGAAACCGACAAACAGCACAGGGAATGGACGTCCGAGCGATGGCCAGAGCTCAGAGCCCCTCCCAACAGATCAGGGGCCCTTCCTTGGCGAGTTGCGATGCGCTCTGCTGCCCCCCCCCGGGCGCCGCCTTCCCCAGAAGACATGGCGATCGAAGACCTGGCGGGCCCCCCGGGCGCAGGCGCCGCCGCCGCCCGCGTCGCCCCCCCCCCCCCCCCCCTTCCCCTCCTGCTCCTCCTCCTCCTCCTCCTCCTCCTCCTCCTCCTCCTGCTTCTCCTCCTCCTCCTCCTCCTCCTCCTCCTCCTCCTCCTCCTCCTCCTCCTCCTCCTCCTCCCCCTGCTCCTCCTCCTACTCCTACTCCTACTCCTCCTCTCCTCCTCCTCCTCCACCTCCTCCTCCTCCACCACAACCTCCTCGCCCTCCTCCTCATCCCGTTATCCCGTTCTCCGGCGGGGGTAGGAGCTCGCCGTCCGAGGCACCCTCGCGTGGTGCAAAAAATCACGACATCACGTGTCTCGCTATTTTCCTCGGCTGCGAGAGCGATGGGGGGGAAAGGAGTAGGCCTTCTCGGAAGGCGGCGGGACTTCTCAGAAGCCCTCGCGCCTCCTGAGAAGTGCTCTTCTTGTCTTCGGGGAAGGCTTCGACGACTTCTCAGATGGCCGCGGGACTTCCGAACCTTCTGAGAAGGCCTTCTCCTTCTCACTCCTCCCCTCGCTCTTCGCCGATGTCTGGCCTCGGGGGGGCCCTCGCGGGGCCCCGAGGCCGTCAAAGAACGGCTCGGGATGAAAAACCGGTCCCGGGGAATGCGTCCAGTCTTCTGTCGGGGGAGCGTAAGACCCGGGTTTGCCGGGACTCGGGTTCGCCATCGTTTTTTGACGACCGCGACTCGGATTTTGACGAGGAGGAGTTTTGTGGGATGTCTGCAGCGGGAGGCCTCGTCAAAATGCAGGCTCGGCCTCGTCATTTTTTTGACGACCTCGTCGGGGATTTCCGAGTCCCCCGTACCCGGGTCTTACGTCTCCCCGATTCTGGGGGTCGACGTCGTGGAAAAGAGCACGGCGTCGGAGGTTTACATCACTGCTCCGCCCTTCCTCCCTTTCCTGCCCCTCGTCCCCTTCCTCGTCCCCTCCCGCCTCCCCACCATCCTCCCCTCCACCCCCTGTTGTCGCCACCTCTCGCCTTCACGCCCATCGCCATCCTTGCTTCCGCCCTCCTGCCTCCCACCCCTGCCCCCTCTCCGTTCCCAGACCTCCTGACGTCATGAGTTTTATAACCCATAACGTCGACCACCAGAGGTCTGAACCCCTTCCCCAGGACCTTTTTTTCTTCCTGATTCTTGTTTTGATGGTCTCGAGGCCCGGCAAGAGCACCAGGAGGCCGAGAATAGCAGAACACTTCCCGCCGCGATGTTTGTCACAACGCAAGGGGGGGGGGGGACATCCGGGTCTCCGTCCTCCCCCCCCCCATTCCTTTTGCCCTCCTCCCTCCGTCTGCCCCTTCTCCCTCGTCCCTCTTCGCGCCCTGCTCGCCTCCCCCCCCCCTCCCCCCCCCAGCCTGGCAACGTGATTGTGGCTCGAGACGCGCGCTTGGTCCTGCAGCGGATGCCACGTGGCTGAAGACAGATTGCGACGACTCCCCTCGCACCGGAGTCGCGGCACCGTCTCAGCGTTTCTTTCAGGAGGAGAAAAAACACACAGATACAATGAATCGTCCATTCCCAGGAAAATATGGGAAGTGGGGGGGAAGACAAAAACCCGGGAAATATACGAAAGTATGGGGAATCGTTCTATTTGTGTGTATTTATTTGTGTGTCCCAGGGCCCCTTCATTCTTGGAGTGCCGTTGCCAGGCCCTTGCTGCACTCTCGTTCGCTCGTGGGGTCCTCCCTCGCTGCTTCCCATGGTACAGAGGGGGAGGACCAGGGAGAGGAAGGGGAGGCTGGTGCACGAGGATCAGGAGGAGGAAGAAGTCATTGAGAGAGAGAGAGGAAATGAGCATGAGGATGCGGAAGGGGAGGGGGAGGGGGACGGCGAGGGGGACAAGACGGAGGAGGAGGAGGACGCGGAGCAGGCGGAGGAGAGGGAGGAGGAGGAGAAGAAGAAAGGGGGCCCCCCAGAATCGCTGAATCGCTCCATCCCCCTGGAAATCGCGGATGGCGAACCCCCTCTTCATCCTCTCAGTTGTGTGAGTCCGCCCCCTTCCGTCCTCCCTCTCGCTCCCACTCCCTTCTCCCGTTCCCTCCTTTCCGGGGGGGGTAGGAGCCCCTCCTCCCTCCTCCTGGGGAGGGGGGGAGCGGGATCCTGCTCGTCTGCGCCCTCTTGGGGGGGGGGGGGGGGAGGGCGGAACTCCTTTCCCCCCCCTCTCCCTCGCACTCCTCCTCCGCGACTTCCCCCTCCTCGCCCACCCCCTCCCTCCCTCGCCTTCCTCCCCCTTCTCTCCCTCCTCCTCCTCCTCCTCCTCCTCCTCTTCCTCCTCCTCCTCTTCCTCAATTTCGCAATGAGCTTACCGCGGGGGTGCAACTAGGCTTCAGCAGCACCCCCAAGCGCCGATCCACGATCCTCCTCCTCCTCCTCCTCCTCCTCCTCCTCCTCCTCCTCCTCCTCCTCCTCCTCCTCCTCCTCCCCCTCCCTCAAGTATTGGGGGTCAAGTTTTCTTTTGGCCTCCTTCCCCTGTGCCTCAGCGTGGCACTTGAGAGACTAGATTCGGGTGCTACTCAACACATTCACTGTGACCAATCTCGGCTAAAGCAGGGGAGAAGCAATGGCGCGATGCTCATCGGTCCCCAGGGGCCTCGGCCGAGGACCATGGAGCAGATGTCCTAGCTGCGGGGTAAGCAAGACAATCGGGAGCTGACCAAGACAGCATGCGCGTGTCGAGGCTGCGGTTCAAGAGTTCCTTTATGTAAGGCGCGTTCGCTGTCGGCGGAGAGGAAGGTCTCCTTCGATTTGACGGGCGACGAGGACAAGTTGGTGACTCCTCGAGGAACCAAGTGGGCGGAAAGCAAAGGCCGCAGCGACACCAAGAGCTGGCGGCGTGGCGGTGCAGGTCAGGACGTTGCCGCCCTCCTGGAACAGACTCTCCAGGCGACAGGGGATCAGGAGCTCATCAGCTACCTGCGCAAGCAGGTAGAGAAGCTCGTAGCGGAGGTAACGAAGCCTAAGGACGAACCGTCCCTGGTTGTGGCGCTGCGACGAGCTGAAGGAGTGTGCAAAAACGCTGAGCATCGTCACTCGCAGCAGGTTGCACATGTTGTTCGGCTGAGAAGACAGCTGGAGGTGGCTGAGGATAAGGAGGCGAAGGCGGCGCGGGCGGTGGACGAGGCCGCGCTGGCCCCCAAGGCCGCCGCCGCGCAGGCCGCGGCACACGCCGAGGGCGTTCATGCCGCGCCCGCCGCCCAGCCCGACGCTTCAGCATCGACGCCAATTTGTCATGTCAGCTGGGACCGACAGTTCTTCGACAAATTCGACGGCATGGAGTGCGAGGAGCATGAGAAGGAAGTTCTGAGGGGCATCGAGAAGAACCTCGAGGCCACGCAGGGCGCCATGGCCTCGAAGGAGGCCGAGGTCAAGGCGTGGCCGGAGCAGATGGAGTCCGTCAGGCTGCGACATCGGGCAGAGGCTCGGCAAGAAGAGGCGCGGGTGCGATGGCCAGGCCGTGGCTGGCGGAGGGGGCGCCGAGGCCGCGCAGCAGCCGCAGGCGGCAGCAGGGAGTTCCCCAGGCGCTTCCGCCAGCGGCGGCGCTGCGGCGGCAGGCAGCGGCGCTGGCGCACCCGACGCAGCAGCCCAGGCAGCAACCCAGGCGGCAAAGGGGCAGAATATCTAGGAGGAAGCGAAGAAGCTCTCGGAGGCCAGGCTCTCGGCGCAGACGCAAAAGAAGCAGGACAAGAGCATCGGCAAGAGCGGCAAGGGCTACGCTTCCCAGGCCGGCGGCGCGATTTCTTGACAATCTGGAACTGCGCCGACGGCGAGCACGCCGCCCGACGAGGCGGAAGGGGAGCAGCATAGCCGCTGGTTCTATGCCAATGTCACTTGCACGGGGGAGAAGTGTTAGAACTGGTTTGCGTCTCGGCCGTTCGACTTCACTAGTATCGTCGGGCCCCACTTCCACGATGACGGGACACTGCGCAAGTATGACGCCAAGGCCCTGGGGAAGGGCCTTCGCTGGTTCACCCATCCAGCGAGACAGTCTTCGAAAGCGAGAGCTGCAGTCGGCGCCAAGAGGGAGGTGTTGATGGAGTACTCGAATGAGGGCGGCGAGTGGTTCATGTCCAAGGGCATTTGCAATTGCACCGCCCCCCTGCCGCTGGGCTAGCTGGGGGCAGGCTGCGTGCGCCTCATCATTCTCATTGTCTCGATGGCTTTCTTGTTACAGTCGTACATTTCTCGGGCTTCAGCGTGGTACTGCTTTGCTTTTACGCGCGCACCTGGATAGGGCACACAGGAGCCAACATCGGCAGGTTGTAGAGGTTAGCCGGGCTTCTGTGGTCTCAACTGCCCTCGATAGTTGAGCGGGGTTTCAACGTGGAGCATCGTCAGCTTGAGAAGTCAGGCATCGCTCGTCGGATGCAAGCCGCGGCGTTGCAGGCAAAAGGGGCTGCCACATGTAATCTTGGCTCGGGTACGGTCATTGGTTAACTGCTGCGCAGCCAGTCCGCAGTGCCATTTATCACGGACATCCGCCCAGTCATCTCTGTGCCTTGGAATCCACATGTAGGACTCGAGATTATCATGCGTCGATCGGGGGAACAGCTCCTGACGAGAATTCTAGAGACCCCTGCTCGGCCCCACAGGTCCCGCGACCATGCGTGGATGCCACCGCGGGGTCTTGGTCTAGTGTCGCGACAGCTACGCGTAAGGTGCAGCGCCAGCTCGCTGTCGAAAAGCGGGCTGCCAAGTTTCCTGCCTCGTTTGAGGATTGCTGCCAGTCTGAGCAATATGTTGCGAATGTCGAGGGCGAGTGGCCTGGGGGCAAAGATCCTTCGGCCTCTGGGATTCGGGAGCTTGACACTGAGCCTTTCCATTTTGATGAGTGGCCCGGGGAAGAAGATCCGTGGGCTGATGGGCCGTCGTTTTGCCCCGACCCTTCCCGCCTCCCCACTCTCGCTGCGTCTGGGCAAGGGGCATCGCAAGCGACGCTACAGCGCTGCGTCTGCGCAGGGCTCACGGGGTCTCCAGGGGCGTGC